TATAATTTGTTTCTTCTTTTACTTCCACATTCTTCTTGGAGCATCTTATATCTGACTGTAAACAAACAAGCAGAAGCCATGGCTTCAGTATTAGAAGTCTGCAAATATCAGTGTTTAATATGATTAACACTACTGAAAAGCTTCAATTTTGTGATAGCTTGTAGGTCATATGTTAATGACTTCACTTAATTAGTTAAAAAAGAAAAGAAAATGTGTTTTTCTTTCTGTTGAAATTTCTGTTGAAATGCTGTCCTCATTAGTGGAATCTGCTTGCACATCCAGGGAAGAATCACGTCACATGTACACCCCTCCATATATGTGTATCTGAGGATTAGTTCCAAAAATGTAGTCTGGCAAAGAAGAGGTTCATAGATTCATTGGTAGCATGGCTGTTTTTGTGGGCATGACAGTGTGTGGGAGTACTGACTATGCTTACTTATGCTGTACTTACAAAGAGAGACCATAGAACGGGCTCATAGAATGGGCACTAAATAATTTTTGCCCATAATGTGGCATTACAGGCAAGTCTCCTAGTCCCTCAGCATCCATAGTCAATCTTCTCTCCCCCTCTCTCTCCTTTCTGACACCACAACAGGATTACTGCTGCTTCTGGTAATGGCAGAGAAGGATGCTGCTCCTGTTGGGGCAGCAGCAAGAGGTTGGAGCCCCAGTGGCAACAGGAGCAAAGAATCCTGCTGCTGGTGGGACCTCGCGGACAGCTGGAGCACATTACTCAGTTTGGACTCGGAAGTTTGAAGTCCAGAGCTGTGGGTTGGCCACCCCTGCCCTAAAGCATTTTAATTTCTGTAGTGCTACAAAGTGTTGAGGCACTTCATCATGCTGTACACAGTCCAAGGCCTAAGTTTTATATACTTGTCCCTTATCTGTGAGAGTAAGCACACAGACTTCTTCATACATACATCTTCCTGCCCACATTAGCTGCTGCTTTATTCATCTCTGTTTGTAAGAAAGGGTACTCTTGCACCAAACTTCCTGCATACAGGAGTGCTGGACAGTGTTCTCCTTCTGTTTAAAGAAGATGCTAAATAGGAAAATGTGTGTTGGTCTAGCTCTGTCAGACTGAAATTAAATGTATGTAGATCTAAGTAGGTTTAAGTATCCTTCATTTGCTGGCATGTGGTGTGTCGGGAATGTGGCGGGAGGCTGTGTGTGTAAGTGTATTATCAAAAAAAATCAGAAAACTGTCTTGATGCCTTTTCAGGTGGCTGTAAATGGAAAACACTTGCTTCTGTACAAACATAGAATCAACCTTGAGAAAATAGATACACTTGGAATATATGGCAGAGTGCAGATTGAAATTATAGAGTTTGTTTCCAACAAGGTAAGCTGTTAAATTGCTTAGTTTATTGTTGTCTTTTTACTTCAGTATAGCATTTTGTGACGTAGAAGACTTTAATAATGAAAATGAAGTCATAAATGATAATATAAGCTCTAGTACCAGAGTATAGCAACATATCCTACACTCATAAAAATAAACTTCATAAAAATGAAATTTATTTCCTACCTATGGGGACTTTTTACCATCTTGTACCATCTACATTTTTCCCAGAGCCTGACAAAGGGACTTTGATTTTGAAAGAAAAGGACAATTTTCTTGCCATTTTCCAGTTGGTCTAATAAAAGGTATCATTTTGGAACCACGAGTTCTAGTTTTTTGTACGTCTTTTTGTCTCAGACCAACACGGCTACCAAGTACACCCCTGCAACATCTCCTGACACTTCTACAACAATGACTTCATTTTCTAGTTACATAGAAGAAAAAATATTCATGCAGGGATTTTTTTTTTTTGGTGGTTCTGAAAAAGTTGGGGAAATAAGGTTGTACAGTGCAAACCTACGTTGTCTTTAGGCCTGTTGTTCACATGTGGATTGATATCAGTGTTTGAATTCTTTTGTGTTGGAGCATATAAAACTTACGGGAGAGATACAAACAGCTTTCGTGGTGTAGACTATGGCTAATGTAACTTATCCCTTGAGGACAGAATGGAACCTTTCTCTACAGTTTGGATCATTTTGAAGTTCATGGAAAATCATTCCCAGAACACACTACTTTCAAACATGTGTGCAAAGGGTATATCTACATGGGACAATGCAAGCGTTTGCAATGATTTGGCTCCTGGAATTACTGAATGCAACAATGCATTATGCAGGGTGGACATGCTCCAAGGCAGCCTTTGAGTTCCCTTTGTGCCAAGCTTTTTCTACATGACCCTAACCAGGTGGTGAAAATCAGCTTTCTGGGTGCTCTGAACAGCCATTTGGTTTGGCTGTGATGTTCAGAGAAGAGATGCAGTTTGCGTTTCTGTCAGCAGCTACATCTGCTGAAGAAAGTGAGCTAGCAGGAGGGAACTGCTCATCTTTCCTGTACAGAGATAAGATCTTCTCATCTCATAGAGGAGACAGGAAAAATCCACAGACTCTCCAGGTACAAAGGGGGCAGTGACGGCCTTCTCTTCACTCCCCTTACCATAAGTGCAGCTTAAAGTGGCGAGCTTCTCTTCTGGGGTTAGTCAAATGAGCCCACTCTGAAGCAGCTTGCCAGATCCCCTGCAACATCCTCCCTCTCCCCTTTCTGCCCCAGCCTGAGGGAATCAAGCTTGCCACAGTGGACAGTGGCAAGGAAACTAACCTTTACTCCTTTGCAGACAGTGGCAATCAGTGCAACACCACCAGGGAGGAGGAACAACCAGAGGGGTTGCTATTGTGCATATAATTAGTCTCTTCTTTCTTTGTTGCTTGGCATGCCCCTCTGTCTGTCTGTCCAGTAAAATCCTTGGACTACCTAGCTGGTTTTCATGTGAGAACATCCTGGCTTTATGCCCAATAACTAAAACCTAAATATTCCCTGTTTTCTGCCAAATCAGGTCTATAATGTCATGAGGACTGTTGAAGGGTGTAGACAGGCCTGGGCGCAGTAGAGACTGAATTCTAAAGAGGTGTCCACCAAACTCTTATTTGTACAGCATATTTGTAGATATATATCCTAGTATTCATATGGCTCTGACACCGTATGTCAGGATTGTAAGTTGACTTGAAACAGAATAGGTTTCAGGTTTGCAAAACTGATGCTGCAAGTAGGCTTCAGTGATTAACATGTTAGTTTCTGTTCCTTAAGGCAAAAATGCGTAAGGAGGTGGGTTAATCATGGAGTGAAAGGATTGTGTAAATACAGATTTTTCTGCTCTAGTATCAGTTTTTGTCTCTGTTTTAATGCTAGCTGCTAATTAGTTTCACTTTCTGCACTACCCATTTCCCTTCACTTCTGTTTTGAGGAGGAAAGAACAGGTGTGTACTTTGTGGAAGACATGACCTGCCATGACCCAGAGGGTGCTAGAAGTGGCAAGGCCAGTGTGACCAAACCCTGATTCAGTGTTCAAGTTACATACCATGCAAATTACCTAGTGCCATGGTTATTAACCTTTTTTTTGACTCGAGGCACTTGTTGGAAAATGTTGGCTCTTAGGTTTCACTTGTTTTTTTGACTAAGGAAAAATAATTGAGCAGTTCTATTGCAAAGTGCTCAGGAAGACCAAAACAGGTCAAGTGTTTTTGACACTGGATTCCTATTTGAAATCTCTGGGTTTATCTTGTGAATCGTGTGATGGCATTGGAACACCTAACAGTGCTAATCTTGCACGGCACCCTGTTCACCCCTAAAAGGATCTCAGGCACCCCAGGATGCTGCAGCACTGTGGTTGAGAATCACTGATCTACTGCAAAAGGC